CTCTTCCAAAGTCACGCCCTCAACGAGCACGTATGGAAGCCTTATTGTAATCAGCCAAAATTAGTCTTGCTCATATATAACCAGCCCACCATGAAAAAACTTACTTAGCTTCTTCCCACTTTGCTTCTGGGTGAATATTTCCTTCCGTCCACCATAGGCTTCGAAAATAGGTATAATCCGGCATTTTTTGTATTGAAACAGTGTCATCGGTTCTGGCATTAATAACTGGAAGGTTAGAAAAAAGCAGAAGTACCAGTTGAACGTAATTATCTACTCACGCTGTCGTAATCGAGCTTTGTACGCTAACATTGCTAATACTGTAATATCCAGAATCTGGGACAGTTTCAATGGACATTTTTATTAATATTTTTGGGAATGGTGGCTTCAGAATTCCCATAAGCTGGCTCCTTTTTCCTGATTTGCACGATGCAAAAAAGTTGTGTAAAGTTTCACGGGTGTCATGAGATGTTTATTTTACTTGATATGACTAAATTATTTTAATTGAACATATTTGTATTACTAATAGCAGTTATAGCAGTTACATAATGGTTATATATATGTTAGATTGAAGTAGTCATGTCTTAAAATGATTCGATTAATGGATTCACTGTCACTAGCTTCATCCTTTATTATTGGATTTCTCTTCCAAGCTTCATTAACTAAAGAAGGTGGTAATTTATTAATCAAATCCGAATAGGCTTTATTAAATTTCATGATACATATACTATCGAGAAACTAATATTGTATTTTACAACGCAGAAAAAATTGAAATCTTTTATGAAAATTATGAAATATACATCAAGTAAAAAAATAGCTATATATAAATAAGTTATACATTAATAAATAAATAAATATATTAATCGAATAAATAGATGTGTATATTATACATTATTAATTTGGCGCATTTCTTCTCGAACTGTCCATAATAATTGGTAATGTAATGCTAATTCTGAAGCGCAGAGACCATCTGGTCTGTAGAAATACTCTAGCCATTTTTCTTGTATTACCTTTACAGCTCTGATTTTTCTACCGATTTCTCTTGC